AGAATTAACTGATTCAAAGCATTTCAGTGTTAGCGAAACGCTTGCTGGCAGTTGATTTTTAATGTTTTTTAAATTTGTTTTCAAATAAAATTTGGTTTTAATTAATTTTGAAATTAGTTTTTTCCAGAATAGGTAACTGTTTTTTGCGTTTGGTATTTTTGTATTTGTTTTTCTTGATTTAAGTTTTTCATTACTTCTTTTCAACTAACCTCAGACACAGGGAGAAGTTTCTATGTACTACAACTGACCTGTAGCACAGTGCCATCAAGGTGAAAGTAACAAAAACGAACCCAACAACTGACATTAGTACACCGACCAGGAATACTGTATTTGAGCCGTGGTAGTTCTCTATACGAGTGTGAACGTTGTTATTGTTTTAGTTGTTATTTGGTGGCAAATAGGTGATTTTTTTTGTTTTTTGTATTATTTTTTTTTTTCATTTGTTGTTGTGTAATATTATACATATTTATTTACAGTGGGTGGGGCGGGTAATGGGTTGTGGGAAAGTAGGTAAAATTATTTTTTGTGATTTTTTTTTTGGTAGGAGCAGGGAAGCGGTATATGTGGTTTGGTTTGTAGTTGTTTAAGAAAATATGTTTTATATAAAATGTTCATATGTATATAGGTGTAGTGTATATTCATTGTAAAAGATTTCAGCATTTCAGTTTAGTAGCACAAGAACCAAAAAAAATATATAGCACACAAAGTTGGGCGTCGTATACACATTGTTATTGTTGTTGTTCCGCAAGCGTTGTGAACGACACATGGACGATATTTAGGCGTTGGTTATTGTAGTTTGTGGTGCAGTTGATGTTGTATATGTAACGCGCAGTTTGTATAAAAATAAAGTTTAGAATTTCATTTGATTGGCATAAGTCAATATAGTAGGGATATATATTATATGATTGTTTGGCTTAAATACAGGAGAAAGGCATATTTATTAAATAATTCTCGTTTTACTTCGCCAAGGAAACAAGTTACGCAGGTGTCTAACTGCTACAGTGGCACTAAAACTGTTATATAGTTTGTATGTAGCAATAAATACGAGCACTTCAGTTTGATTGAAGCGTTCTTGGCCGCTGTGCCGGTTGTTTGTGGTTGCTGGCTGCAATATTAATCAGGTATAAATGTAACAACAACAACAACACCAGCAACCTCAACTACTATGACAATGGTAATCCACTAATACACGCATTGTGATGTGATTTGATTTGATTTGGCAAGGAGCAATGAGTGAGGCGGATTCGAAAAAGTGGCAATAGTGGAAAAGTAGTACGAAATGGCCATATACATATGTATGTATATAGTGTAGTATATATGTGTGATGCGGAGTAGTAACAATCCCCACTCGTATGCAAGTGTGAGCAGTAATGATTTGGAGCGTTTGGGTGTTTACATTGGCGCTGTCTTTATTTTATTATTTTATTTTACTACGCTTTGGAGCAAAAACTTCGCCAGTCTACGCAGTTGTTATGCTCGGCACGTACATGAAGTGTCTTTCACATGACTTCTTTGCTGGCTGATTTCTTAAAATTTAGCTGGCTTGCATCCAAAAACTTGACAAATGTGTTAGTGCCATGACAATTGCAGCGAATTCGGTATTGTGCTAACGTCTGTCGCATAAAGAATTCATACACATATATATATATGTACATGTGAAATGTGTGTATCTTTCAGCTTCGGGCAATTTATACTTTAAATAATGCTAATCCTTTGTACAATCGTGCTTTATAGCTCTGTAATGGCGTTATAGTCAGCATTTAACTGCTTTCCTTTGAAAAATATATTCTGAAAATTTGTTTTCCAACTATTTTCGTATTCTGCACAAGTTATGTAATTATTTGACTGCATTTAATTTTATATAAATACAAAACAAATAGTGAAAGTTGTAGTAAAGAAGAAAAATAACTATATACATATATATAAAATATACATATTTACTTTTTTAATAAAAAAGCATGTACTTTATGCTTCGTTACGTACATACAACTTGTATAAAAGTTCATATATATATATATTTTTTTTTTTTTTGATTTATTTGAATTTCTTCACCATACGAATTATACACAAATATACACAATTATGTATTAGGAACAATTACACGTGACATAGGATCAATACATTAAGACACATGTGGTCACATCACACACAGAGTTCTTAAGATGCGGTGATCAGATGATACATACATACAGTGGTGAGTGTGATGTACAGTGTGCTATTTTATGTGTTTATTCAGTGCAAATTTACTTAATTCGAAAATAGCTTCCACTTTGTAATTTTTTTAGTTTTAAAAAATATGACTTAAAAGCAATTTGTGGTTGGTTAGCTTAAATAAATATTTTTTAAGCATGATTAGTCAAGTCTCGCTTCAAAAATTACATAATAAAAACTAGTGGCTCGAAAAAAATAATAAAATATTATAAGACAACGGGTGACAGCGAGCTACTTTATGCAAAAACTTACATTAGTGAAAAATTTTTGCAAAAAGTTAAAAACTAAAAACAAGTAAATGTTTTTCAAATAACGAAATAATAAAAAATATATTTTTTTGAATTACATTATTTTTCAATAGAAAATACATTTTTTGTGTTTAGAAAATAACAAAAAATATAATTTTATATAATATTTAGACCGAATCCACTTTACATTAACCCACTTGAGTTCAGTTTTTGAGATTGGCAGAGCTTCAAAAGAATAATGTTCGGCATTTCACTATACAACGGACAAGGACAATTTAAATTTGTAACTAACTAATAACCACAACTCTGCGAACTTTGAGAAGGAGTTTGGGTTTGAATCCATGATTTTACCTAGGAACAACTTGAAAATAATAACGATTTTTTTAAGAAAATCATCTTCTTCAATGAGGCTCACTTTCGTCTGAGTGGTGCGAAAAATTAACAAAACTGTCGATTCCGGTGCAAAGAAAATCCACAAATTATGCATTGCATTGTAGCTGGAGATACCGTTACTGTCAATGGAGTGCGGTATAGATCGGTGATAACCAACCTTTTATATTTGATTTCCACAAGATGGCGCTACGTGCCACACAGCACGGGCAACAACCGTATTATTGCGAGAGAAGTTTGAAAATTCGATTATATTAAGAATTTTTGCCATTAAATGGCCTCCAAAAAGTTATGATTTAACAACACTAGACTATTTCTAGTGGAGTTGTTTGAAGCCCTTGGGTTTAGCAGTAAACCAGACTCACTTCAAACGTTAGAAAATGATTTTTCTACACGAAAATTGGGTTAATGAAATCAGTTCCTGCAAAAGAAATCGTGGAGGCCATTTGAATGGTGTTGCAGAGAAATCAAAGTTTAATTGTATCGCCTGTACTTCACACTAAATGGAAATATATTTTGGAAAACCCTTTACATATAGGGCGGTTAGTTAAGTTGGTAGCCAAGTCTCCAACCCATAGAATGGTGCTGCACTTAGACTAAGGCGACCACCTTGGTGTCTAGTATTAATCAATATATTAGTGAACATATGAGTATATTCGAGAACAGTAGGATAGTATATCAAAAGTTACATTACGGCTACCTATCAGAGGCAACTGAGGCGGCAGTCACTATTTTTCGTGTATTATCGATTACCATCAAGAATTATAGTTTACAGATGTGCCTAAGTTAGACAACAGTTCAAGAATAGTTGTCAAAGCATTTTACGATTTTTAAACTTCGTTATTGATTTTTTTTATAAACAAAATTGATTTTACAAAAAATCTTTTATTTTTAAACTGACTTCAATAGCTATCCGTAAAGAAAAAATCTGGATCGGCAACTTTAATTATGTAGTCTTTTTCGATAGGGCTGGTGAGAAGGCTTAGATAGTATATATATATATGTATAGTCGTGCGTATTTATAAAAAAATAGTGAGAAGAGATCTAATTCCTTTTCTTAAGGCTTTTCGGAAAGTTGTTTCCCATATATAAGCAAATATTCCTACTATTCGAAAATCATATAATTACATTAACATTCCAAAGGAGTTGATTTATATATAGATTATTCTTTAAAGTCAAGGCTTTTATATGTATATCTAAGAAGTTGAAAAAACACAACACTAAAAATAAATAAACTAAGTGAATAAAGCTATGAAATTAAGAAAATTGTTTGGCTTTGTTTCCTAAAAATTACAGTTTTAAAAGAAAATAGATGTATTCACCATATTTGAATGCAATAATCTGTGTGAATATACATAGGTCAGATTAGATTATATTGGTCACCTGTCATGTATATTCATATATTCTAACACATCGAAAGTTTGCGCTTGAAAATAATAAAAATAAAAACCAAAAGCATATCTATTCATCAACTGGCGATATTTTTGAGAACACGTAGTGATAGTTTGCAAAGTGAATTATGAAAATAAAACTAAAATCGCAAATCATCAGTTACATAGAAATAAAAAATAAATAAATTAACTGTTGGAGTTGATTCGCCGTTTGCTGGTGTTGCATAACGAGCGTGTGGCATGTGGCATGTGGCATGTGGCGCGTGACTATGAAATGTGATCAAATAAATTGATAACATAAAATCAAAGCTAAAATGCACGTCATTGATGTGCACAAAATGGAAAGTATAAATTGCGATGAATATTGGCAAAATGCTAACAATTGCATTAGCAAAGCGCAAATTCTCTATTAGTAAAATGTATGTATGTATGTATGTATGCATGCACATAACTGTTGGCCAAAAATATCAATAAATAATAAACGAACGAAAATAGGAAAATGCCATTCAAAAGCACATTGACCATGGCTTGTTGAAAGTAATTAAAAGCGAAATTTTGACAGGAAACCGTGCTGCGGCTAAAGCATTTTATTTTTATATTCATTTTTAATGAATTAAATTTGTAAACGTCAATGACAGAACTGTATTTGTGTATAGCGTTTTTTTTTAACCAAGTCAAAATTCGAACTCTCTTTGAGTTCATTATATTATAGTCCATGTAATATTTGTGATAAAGCTTTCTAACCTCACTGCTATATGTATACCCTGAGTAATAGGTAGCAGTAACTTTTTGTGCTAATTACAAATAAATGTGTTTGAAAGTTGAAATAGCTTATTTTTAGCAGTTTCTTCCGACTAATGTAGTCAATTGTTGCGCTAATGCTTATATGACCTTATTAATATAGGTAATTAGCTGAGGCAAGTAAGACATATGTAAATTAAACATTTATGTTTGGTGGTTAAACTCACTTTGATTATATGAAACTTTTATTTGTTGCATCCAATAACCGTTATTTTGACTTATTATGCAAGTTATCCATTGGAAAGATTTAAAAAATTAACATTTAAATTCCCTATGTTAAATTTTTGGCTGATTAAAAAAATACTTAATTGCACAGTAAAATTGAGAGCAATTTGAAAAAATACAGACTGATATCCAAATTTTACTCCACATGTATCCAAGTTGTTGTATATAATACTATATCCACATTATGAGCATGTCATTTGCCAGTTACGCGCCGAAGTGCTCGACGTAGTCATCGAAAATCGGACTCAATGGATGGACTTACTACGTACTTACGTAGATATTTAAAAGACATAATCTGCCAAATAATGTTATTCTCCATTAAATTTGAAGTTTCTGTAGCTTTTGCTTAAAAAAGTAAAGATTCTTGAAATGGATCACCATATAGTATACGGAAATGTCAAAGTCGGACAATTGTTGCAGATTGTTCGTGTACATTGAATGATATTTAGGAAAATGTTTAATTTTTTATGTTTATTTAACGATTTCTGTCACAAATTTATTTCTGTGTTGCCATGAACGTTTTTAAGCATGCTGACTTTAGTTGCTGTCATCCTCTTATAGTAGAAGCATTAGTCAACAATAGTTTCAAGAGAGAATTTTAGTTTTTATAATGATATTACGTTTCTCTCAACTTCTACTTGATTTTATTGCCAATATAATTGCACAGATAGTAACTTTCTCAATAATACGGTAAATTGAGACGAACGGTTGATCTAGTTGATTAAATTTAGCAGCTGTCTGAAACGGCTATTCGAGTAATGATTCTAGGACTTTTGTACTGTGATAGATATGTACAGTAGATTCAGCTTCGCAAAACTTAAAAAGCTTAATGCCATTGAAATAGGAATGAGTTAATGATAGAAACATATATGCAAGTAAAAAGGTTTAAAGCTATAGCTCGCTCTTATTGTCTTATATATGTATAAAAATATTTTGTAGTGAATTTTAATTCACCAACAACGAAACACACACAAACATAGCTGTTACACATATAGTACAATTGAAAGTGGAAGATTATATATGAGCTGTGTATGCTTGTAAATGTAAGCACAGCGCTGCCATATGTATGCAACACTCGTATATTATATAAATAAAAAATAAAGAGAAAAGGACTTAGGCACACGATTACATAGAATTATCCTTAATATGCAACACTGTATAGAAAACTAAAATTTTGCAGACACACACCACACAGAAGTTCATGAAGTACAGTTATAAAACATATGTATTAATAGGCTAAAAACATTTAGTTACATGAATGCTATATAAATGCGTGTTTAAGTATTAGTTTAAGTAACATGAATGCATGATTGGCCTACTTGTTGTTGTAGTTCGTTATATTAATATTTTTTTAATGGCATAAGGAGCACCAGAACAACACACACATTTATACGTAAATGAGACCGAGGACAGAAAACCAAGCAACCATTTAATTCAATTGTGATTTTGTGTTGAGTGAATTTCAGTTTTGTTGTTTTTCAAGTGTTGTACTGTTTCTGTGTCTGTGTTTTTGATTTCCGTTATTCGAAATATCGTTAGTTACTTTTTGCTGCGTGCTGCTTATAGTCCGTCGAGTATTGCTTCGTCACTTTTCTTGTAAAACATATTGTAATTAGATTTTATGAAACCCAGAATCCGATAATTTTGCGCCAAAACTTTTACGGAAAGTTAAAAAATAAAACGAAGTAATTTTCTTGACAAATAAGTGGTGAATTTTGTTAATTGAAAGCGTTTAAATCGAAATATAATATTTGAAAAAAAAAATTAATTTATAATATTTGTATTTCAAAAATAAAAAAAAAACTGAAATTGTTATTTTATAAATGTTTTTCAGATTTCCGGTAGCAATAAGTATATTTTGAATATTATTGATTGCTGAATAGTGGGCAATTTGTGAAGTAAGGTAAACAGCAACAAAGCGAGCAAGCTTAGCGAATCAAAGCTCTAAATGAGTAGGTTTCTTAAAATGTTCATTATGAAAAATTTCACTGAAATTGGAAGTGATGTTTGGTTAAAATTATTTAGTTAAAAGCTCAAAAGAGTGCAAATTCATTAAAGGCTCATTTCTTGCATTGTTGCTGTTTACCCTGTAGATATAAATTGATTTGTTTAGTTTTCCATGTTTCGTTAGAATTTCTGTCCTTGTTAATTTGTTGTTGTTGTTTCGATTTGATTTTGCTTGGTACTCTACCTGTAGCAAACCGCCAGAGTTGCGAAACTAATGAAGACGCATTTCACGATAACGGTTAATATGATGACCATGGTTAATGTGCTGATCCTATTTTGATCTGAAGGGCCTGTAAAATGTTGTACGGAAGGAAGGAACATTTCCAATTCGTTCAATGCCAGGTTATACAAGTCAAATAGTTTATAGCAAATTTAGTAAAAATTTCAATTTTGAAAATTTTGAACTCAGTTTTTTGTTTTCAATTTGGAAGCATACATTTAGGGTTTAAACATTTTGTAAAGCATATGTTTAGGAGTCAATTATGGACGTTTGCAATTTTTGTGTATAAAACGTATTCAAGTAAAACTAAAAGTTTGTAAACTCGAGACTACTTAGTAAAACACAACACTGCGTTCATTCGCAGCTAAGAATAAATTTGAAGAACGTTCATACTCTTAAAAATTCATTACATAGTATGGAAAATAATTATATATTTTAAGCTATTTAAGTAGTTTAAATATTAATTTTTGTATTATTTATAATGTAACTGAAACTGTGCTGTGAGAGGTCAGCGGCAGCGAAAATACCGCTCTTTCTTCTAAATTATATGAGTATTAAGTACTAAAATTTGGCAGTGCCATTATATATGATTTTTAAATTTAGTTATTTTTTTTTAATATATTGATGATTGGTAATGCTGTCATATGATTACCATTGTCATAACACAACCGGTTTAGAGAGGGGGAAAAGGATTTAATATCAAAGCAGTGAAATTTTGTACGAAGAAAGTTCAAAGGTTTAAATGCATTCGACATTACTTTAAAATGAAATTTAGACTTAATTACTTTAAAACAATTTAAGGCTAAAATGCCTCTTTAAGTATTATAAATAATTATAACAATTTAAGGCTAAAATGCCTCTTTAAGTATTATAAATAATTATAATACCCCTAATGTGAGTGATTTTATAAATGTATGGGTTTTAAAAGCTAAGGATTGCTTGAGTATTGACTACATGCATAGCTTTCCGCAAAACCATTCTAGAAAATTGAAATTTATTATTTCATTTTTGCTTTTATTTATATATAAAATAACAATACAATTTATAGAGCTTAGCAGTTGTCTTAAGATCTTCAAGTTGTTGGATCTTATGAAGGAAGGGAGACGTTTCTTACGATTTTATTTTTACCAAAGAAAAACTCTGACTAAAATATATGCATGGAAATAACAAAAAGTAATAGTTTTATTGTCAGAAATTACTTCAAGAAATAAATATTGATAGGCGTGTTTCCAGTGTTTGCTGAATTTATAACTATCATTTTTCATTTCAAAATCCAATAGTACAAAATATACGCCAAAGCAATATCAGAATATTTTACTGTTACACAAAGTTATTACTAAACAATATTTCACTGCTTGTAATTCGAGGTCGATATCATATATATATACATATGTTCTAGTTATTATTGGCTGTTTACATGGGCAGAATGCAAGTCCTGTATAAAAATAAAAAAATAAATAAAAACTACAAAAAAAAAAAAAAAAAAAAATTTAGTTCAGTAAAAGTTTCTAACAGTTTTGAAGCATTTATATGAAACAGTTTAGAAGCTTTAGCTTAGCTTTAGAACGATATCTTTTTGAATTTAGAGAATAAAAGTATGCTTTTGCCACAGTTTGTTGCAATATAAGTTGACATGGCACAAGTTAATTCAGGTCTGAATATCTCAAAAAGACAAAAAAGTGCTAATTTTTTCTTATTCTGTGGTCTAAAATATTTATTTTTATTAATCTGTAACTTTAGGAACCTTTATTATTAATATTTTTTAAATTTTTAATTTGAGTGAAAAGAACAATCCCAAGCTTATAATTTAAAATTAAAAAGCGAGATTGTTTTAAAATTTACATTTCTTCGCGTTTGCGTACTTCGGGTTCTATCATTTTGGTTATCTTTTGAAAATCAAATATATTTTAAATAAAATATCAAAATAATTTAACTTTTTTGTTTTAATTATATTAAATTTCTTTCAATTATTGTGTTAGAAATATGTAAATGTGTCCTGCTTCATCCTTTTTACTTCCATTTTTTCAATTTAATTTTTTTTTATTTATTACCCCAATTATTTCTTTAAAAAATTTGATCGCAATTTATAATTCAAGGTATTTCGAAATATGTATAAAATTTTCACGTCTTAATTAAAAGATTAAGAATTGAAAATTTTTTGATTTTGCAAATAAAATTTTAAAAATTTTATTGTTTAATATAAGTAAATTGAAAATTTAATTTTTCAACATAAAAAGAAATTTTATTTAAACTCAAAAACGGTATTAAACTTAGAAAATTTCCCATCTCAAAACGGAAATTGGAAAATGTAAATCTTTATTCTAAATCAAAACGTTTTCCATTTAATTAGCAACCTTGCTGTTAATTTTTTAGCATTCTTTTCTTTCTCTCTTCATATCTACGCTGCACGAACTCTGTTAAAAGAGTTATTTTGCATGTTTTTAGACCCTCAAGCTTTGCATTCTGCCCAAACGAAGCATATTAAAAAATAAATTGTATATATTTTCAAATTCCATAATATAAACTAAGTGTAATTCCAATGTTTCGCAGTTTTTGTGAACAGAAATTATTCACAGCAGAAAAGCTTGAATTGTGGAACAAAGTTAATTGATTAAAAATATATTTGGTATAACACTTTAAAGTCAGACTCAAGCCTGACTGCCAGACGCGTTACTCTAAGTATCATATGCACTTTGAAGGACTGCTTGATTTGATTTTTTTTTTGATAGCGTATTCACACGCATCGGGAAACAATTATTATACAACAGAAATAAGAGAATCTGCACAAAAGCATCTTACCATATGGCGTCTCCTTCTTCTCCATTTTGATAGTATTCTCCGCGGTTGGCAGCGCTTCCGTTGGCAGTGGTGTGGTCAGTAAAACTACAAGGCTACAGTCGACGCCGCCCCAACCCATGTCGCAAAAGCAGCGATTCGTGTTGGTGCAGACCTGTGCAAATGGAAAGCAGCATAAAGAAAAACGCAATTTAGAATAATGTATGTAGATGTGCATGTACGAGTGTGTGGCATACATATTTCGTTTCCGTTGTAAAATTGACATTTTGCTAATCTATTTTTAGATGTGCATTAGTCATGTGGCACAGCTAAAATTAATAGTGCCTTTGCAGTCTCACACACGCACACACATGTATATGCATGGATGCAATCAATGTAAAAGCTTCATTTAAACAGTATTTCCATTAAAATTCGCGGCTATCAAAATGAATTAAAACAGGCGAAATTACGCAGCAACGAGCAGAGCAAATATAACAGAGAAGCAACCAGCCGCGTGGCCAGCGAGTCAGTCAGGCAGACAGGCCGTAAAGTAGTGAGACAGTGAGGCAGCGTGCGAGCCACTGACCGAACCATAAAAGCTATAATTTGGACCAGCGCCACCCAACCAATCAGGCGTTTGTTGTGTTTATGTGTAAAAGCTTTGGGAAATATTTTAAATTTTTAATTACACTTAAGCGTATTTATACATTTACGGACGTGGCGTTGCACACGCATGTCCAAGCGATGACCCAATATAATGAGCTCTGCCGGCGTTCGGTGCGTACGCAGAGATAACTGCTTCGTGTTTGTGTGAGCTTTTATTTTATACTTTAGTGCTTCGGGCAGTCTTTGTCGTTGTTATTTTAATTTTTGTTGTTGTTATTATAGCTTGTATGGTGCATACATTACTGTTGGTTGATAGTATGTCAGCACTACTGACCGTAAATGAGTCACTGCATGGAATTTACGGTCGCATTTCAGGTGATTACTGTAGGCAAACACACACACACATATATTTATATATATATATATATAAATTTCGTTTGCATTTGTATTGCATAAGAACGCGCATTGTTGTGGGTCTGAATGGCTCGCGCCATCGTTAAGAATTATGGCTGGCGTCTCGCGGCCACCATGTCGTATACGTAACATTCGTCGCACTCGCCACGGCATGCCACATTTTAACCACAAATATTCTTGATTTACATTCATCGTTAAAGTACATATATCATGCAGGCGATTGATATTTTTCTTTCCTTAACTTATTTAATTTTTTTGTGAGTGTATTTATGAGACTGTCATGCCGAGGGGCGGCCGTAATGAGACTGCGGCTGTGTAATCACTTTTGCAGCGCCGCTCATTATTGTGGGTTAAATACTTTAATGGTTAAATGGTCACACGCAAAAATGCTTGAAATGCTGCAAGCAGGGAGCGGGCGCAGCAGCAGTGCCCATTGACTGGCGTTGAGGCGCGGAATTGCGTTTAAAATGACGACTTTGCTGCATAAAGTCATGACAGAAATTTTATAATGTTAAAGCACGGCAAAAAATTAAAATTATATTACCACTGTTGTTGTTTCTGATGTTGCATGCTCAGATGTGCGAAATGCAACATTTGCATAAGAGCATGAGTCCAACCGCATAAACTATTCATGACTGCGCTCACAGCGCATTATTTTGCGTTTTTGTAATTATATTTTTTTTGTTTTTATATTTGCAACAACAATTCTTATAGAGTTGAGGTTGTAGCGTTTTCAATATGAGTTTAAATTACTGCTTAATTTCGCATGCATCTTGTTTGCTTTTAATTTTCTTCCACTTACCCCGCGTCCTGAACACTCTTTTCCCTGTGAATCTGTTGGGCATTTGGTTGAATCGACGTGTGGAAATATGCTGACACAAGTCTGATTCAGACAAATCAAATCAGTACCGCATGGCGTACCATCCTTTACCAGTCCATGTTCCGGATACTCATTAGCGCCCACTTGACCGCTAGTGGCTCTACAGAAAATAAGCGGATAAGAGATTAAGTTCATTTTGTATGCATGTAATGTTGACAGTGGATTATGAGGTTAAGCAGGATATACTGGGTGGAATAAACAAAAGTCAGAAACTTGCGAAATGAAGTTGTGCTCAAAAAATTCTAGTATATTGCAGTGGAAAAGCGAAGTAATCCCATGAAAAAATAATTTGAAACTCATCAACAAAATAAAATAAAATTAAATTAAAAAAATAAAAATTTAAATTTGGCTGCACCCAACCATTAATATCCTTCACAGTGCATTTTATTTAGCAAAGATAAATTTTTTATAATTGTTTTAATCAATCAATTTGAATTATATATCTGGCTGAGTTATAATATTTTTGTTAAGAATGATTAAGCAAGAATTTATTTTTATATTTTTTACACCTTTCATTTTATAAAATATATATTTTACCAGCAACCATTTTGTTTCTAATTTTCATACTTAATAACTTTTTTTTTATAATCTGCTAGGTTTTCTGTGCTGTATACATACTATATACCATTTCTGAGATTTTTTATTGTTATACTATACGTGTACAGTGGCTCTTAAACTTCTACTCGAGGAAGCCATGTAATTTTGATAATCAAATTTATCAAAAATATGTTCAAGTCGGTTCCGCATAACGTAAAATAGACCAAATCATATATCAGGAAATCTAAATAAAACAGGAATCGTAAAAATCGACGAACTAATGTAGTTTTAGATAGTGTTCATATATGTGATCAAAGTGAAATGAAGTTAGAAGGCACGCAAGTCCATAGGCGCACGAAAAGGAGTATTTTAGGCATTTGAAACTCCTTATTCTGAACATCAGATTCTGCTCGAGCATACTCGATGGAAAAAGCAAAAAACATTAGTTTAAACTCTAAATATTTGTGACATAAGTTCAACTCACTGTAATAAGATATCTGCAGCTCTAGATTGAATGGGCTTGCTCTTATCAATATCCGTGAAGCACAGACTATTTGTATCTGTCTGTCCATGATGGAAAATTTGGACAGATATGCCCGCTACGTAGGCCGCTGCATAAAACGATCATTTCATCTTGCTTTTATATCAAGTTTGATTTGAAAAACAATGAACTAAGACCAGCGATGGAAATGTTTGATCCATAAAACTGTTAATAGTGCTTGCTTGATATCCATTTCTTCTTTTTAATTCATCATCTAAAATATACTTTGCTTCACTGTTAGAGTTAACTTCTTAAAATGTATTTTATTTTGTTAGAACAGCATCAGTTGGACGTCGTGAAAAGCAAGCATCTGTAGAGGAAAAGAAGCTTTTCAAGGAGTTCTTTTTTTTTTTTTTAACAGGAAGGCGACCGCAAAGTTTTTGATTTAAAAAGGAACATAAGGCTAATAGAAAACGATGAAAACGTGAAGTATTGATGGATGAGTACACATCGAAGCGGCAACGTGACCCGACAATGCAATCACAGAATGACAACTCGAAGTTAGCAGAAGCGCAAGAGAAACAACGTTTACAGAGGGTTCCACAACTCCATATATCGTACATCTTGTTAGGCTTATGAGAACTTCATATTTTTAGGAATTAAGCGAAATCAACTTAAATGGGAGATATTCTACTAAACCATCATGAAAAAAAGCAGAAAAAATTTTATTAAAATTGGATATATCATTCTTAAATTCTAGTTTTCGTTAGTAGTCGTATAAGCTCCTACTTATCCAGAAAAAACACTGACATACAAACTATATGTCCTCTCATGCAAAGAGTCTTCGAATGACATTAACCACCTCATTCACTACTAAACTGATTCTCTTCTTTTGATTTGACCCTGTCGAATAAGCCTATTTCCTAGACCTACAACTAAGTGATTTCGACGACACTTAATTTTTGACCTTCCCCAAAGAGGGTTTAGGTACGACCTTACAACACTAACAAGCGCCACATGTCTCATAATAATAATCTATACTCGTACATCTCCTTAGTAGTGGAGGGGAAAATATGTAAGGAAATAAGCTTGAAAATCAATACTTAATTAACTCTCATTAGTATGGCGAAACGTTAAATATTTTGAAGTCGCAATTTTACTGGAAAATTTCTTTGAAATTCGAAAGTTAATGTGAGATTGTATTGGCAGGGGAAAGATATTGATATACAAAATAAAGCCATTTTTAATTACTTACGACACACACATTTAATATATTTTAATAGGTAATATAATAGGTAACCTATTATATAATATATAAACATGTTGTCTTATTCATCCTATTTTTTGTAAAATTTTCGTTTAGATATCTAATTTAATACTCTGTTTTAAGACGCAATCTATTTCGAAAAATTCGCAGCAATTGTTTTTAAAACAAAAATCTATGCGAATTATTATTTTGATTTTGAAATAAGTAAAAATGTTGGTTTTATAAAAAAAATGAACACTTGATTCCACCAAAAAACAACGATCAAACCAATTTAATTTGCAAATTCGTTCATTTCCAAAAAAAATCAAAAAAACGCTTCACAAAGTAACGTTATTTAATCAAGTAATTTATGTGTCAGTGTGTATGTATCTACTTACTTGCATGTATATTCCGTTCCTTTGATTGAGATAACTGTACTCGAATAAAGCTGATCAATGCCATCATTAACTGGCTGGCGTTCGCCCTCCTTGCACTGCAATGTGCCACATTGGACATTCCTAAAAATAAACAGCGAAAATAAACATCATTACATATGCGCAAGCAAAGAGGAGAGCCTAATAGCAAATTGGAAATTGAAAATTATCTGAAAAAAGCCGATTATAAATTAATATGGATAATGGTAATGCTATTTTAGGCATAATGAAGTCAATATGTTGGAAGAAATTCGGCGTATTTGCAACACAGTCAAAAAAATATATTCAATATAACTCATAACGCATTTGAGTTTAATTTAATGGAATTCTGAGAAATGAAATTTGCCAAATTGCCGTTAAATTTTAATACATAATTAAATTTTATACAATTAAAAAGTGAAAAATATATAAAAACTAAGAAAAATACTCACTCTGGCTCGCATTTAATATAATGTTCATTGGAGTCACGCCCACAATGGCCGTTGATCGAACCCTTCGAGTTGAACTGCTCATAGCACTGGCGATCTGCCGCCAAACCGCCATAACCCCAAATCGCCTCGCACTGCAAATTCAAAGTGGGACAGTCACCTTGAAAGCAGTAGCCTTGCGTGTGAAAAGTAGTAAAAAGAGTTGTTCATTACTTTAAAATTTGCCATAAAATGTTAATTTATTAAAGATATATGTAAGTATGGTGTAGCTTTATAAAAAAAAAATGCGGTTGACTTACCGGACGACAATCCTGCCTTTGAGTGCCCGCACGGCGATCCATTTTTCCGAAATACATCCATTGGGCAGTGACCACTTTCGCCATCACAATACTCTGGCAGATCGCATTCGTTGAGCGCATCACGACAGACATAGTCTTTTGGCCGCAGCTAAACGTCGAACGAAGGATATAAAACTCGTTAAATGAAGAATATATGCGAGAAAGGAGAATAGTTTGTCACGTAGACGCAGAAAAGGTTTCTTTTAGGGGATAAATATTATCAGACCTTTCGATCGTAGAGCGGGAGTAGGGGTTTTAACTTTTTTGTTCAAGTCTGTTGAAGCCTGATGAAGTTATGAGTGTTTTTATACCGCTCTTATGAACGTTTTACATCGGATTTTTTTATGTTCAAAATTTTTAGAGTTTTCCCACAACTCAAAGTTGGTGGAGAGCTCCCTATCGACTCCAGCTTCAGACATCCTGACTATTGGAGTGTTTTTCAAGTCGAGGTTGTAGCCGTTAAGGTAGCAGTAGATTTACTGCTCCGGAGTGAAGGCTCGTTGAGAGAAGTGACCATGCACTCTGATAGCAGGGCGGCGTTACTTGCGTTGAACTCATTAACAGTGCATTCAGGGTTGATCAAGGAATGCCTAACCTCGCTATCAATAGCATCGAGTCTCTTTGTGATAAGATTGGTATATGCGTCAGACCGCAGCAGAATCGTACGCGATTTTAGAGTTGATGGGCTAACAAGGAAACTCACCGTAGAACCGTTATTAGTAGAATGAGAGCGGACCAGAATAATTAGGCTTCGTGTGAGCTTGGCTAACGCTCGACCACAATCTCTTTGGAGATTTAGTGATCTTTTGCCTCTTTCTAGTTGTGGGGGTTTTAACAAGCCATTGTCCTATTGGCGTTTAGGTTGTAACGCTAGGAATCTTAACATCTAAAGAAGCCGTATGGAAGAAGGCGAGTTGGAAAAAGCTCAACACTTTTGTCTTGACTGTCCCACGTTTGGGATGTCAAGGCTTAAACACCTGGGAGCACATTTAAGAAATCCCACCGAACTGGCGGGAATGGAAATTAAACGTCTTTGGAAATTTGTATTGGCTACTAAGCATTTTGCTAACTTATAAGCTCGAACATAGAAGTTTTTCCTTTCTATGGCTTCACAGAGGACTGCATATAGCAGTCAACGTGTGATCTTTCTAAACCAGCCATGTAACTTACTTAACCTAACCTTAAAACTGTTCCCAAAAAGTGTAAACACCTCCACTACCCTTAAAATCAATAGTGTATTTCATGATATACTAATTGTTTGACGGGAAGTTAGAATAAATTGTTGCTTGTATCCAACAACGCAAATTACGATTAACTCGTTAATAATTGTAAATCTGTCCTACAGTCGAAATCAAAAGTGGAATTCTATCTACTTATAGAATATAATTGGCGATTGCTTAGACAAACTACAATTTTAAATTAGAATACCATAAAGTAAATACATTAAAATTCGATTGGAGAACTATAATCTTTTCAATTAGGGTATTATGTACCGATTTGCTTGAATCCTTTTTATGTCTCTAATGTTTCTGTTGTCGCTGTTTAATGTTGGAGATACGAATTAGTGAACTTATCATTTTTCTAGTCGATAAGTAAAAAGTAATGGGGATAAAATTGTGTGTAAAATAGTCACACTTAACTAAAGCTACCGCATTAGCACGAAATCACCAACTTCAAAGATTTGGGGTAAAATCAATTTTATGTTATTAGCGTTTTCATCTGCACAAGTAGCAGTTCGTTCCGAGAGCTCTAATGAACTACTTGCACTAAGTAAGATTAATACCGTCGTAATGATAGGTGTTCCAAAAGCACATTGTCTATAGGTACTCAACACCTGGACATTTCCTCCTCCACTGTCCAGCTTACGTACGACTAAAGTTGAAACATTTTGGATATATTTTCTTCTACGACCCAGACGAGTTTGCTGGAATTGTTAATTTTTTAATTTGTGGTAGGCACGAGGCGCCCACACATCACAACGGACTCGACTCAACTGCATCTCTAGTTACGAAATGAGATTTTACTTGGCCTCACGAATACCAACTTGTTTACGTTGCCTCACTTCATTTTCAAAAAATAGATTTTATTTATTTTATTTTCTTAATGTACATATGTACATCTCAGAATACACAAAGAAAATTTCATATCGTTCACGTGAATATTTTCGAAGTTAAACACAAATTTAAAAAGGCGTGTCAGAGTGCTTGAACAAGGTCAAACTTTTTTTCTCAAAATGGTGTTTTAAAAGTCGAAAAAGATTAAACCGATTGGTCTCCAATTTTAACACGAGCTTCTTAAATATTTTTTATAAATATTTTTTTATAAACAATTTAAAGCCGAAATTTTGGCCAAAAATTGATTTTTTTTTTGGAGAAACCGCAATTTTAGTTTGCTTATTCTTTCGATTTAATTTATTGGTTTTAACATTACTTTTACGAAATCTGTTTGGTTTTTTAGTTTCAGAGGATCCAGCTGAGAAATATAGTGCTCACCGCAAAACGTCTGTCTTTTGACAGACCTCTCTTGAGAGGAGATACCAGAGTTCATCTGTAGTTCCTTTCTAAATAAATATTTTTACTAATACTTAGTTTCAAAATACAGAAAAAGATACCGTGATATGTGTAAAAATTTTTGAATCAATAAATTAAAATGTTTCCTAAGAAATATGTCTGAAAAATTCGCTTTTTCGTCCTTACAACTGTATATAAGTCCTTTTCTATGGTCAACTTAAGGCCTAAAATACTTGCAAAAGGATAGAAATATTTTTTTTTGAAAGTTTACTTCTGATTTCAATTTGCGGTATATTGAATTTGTCTGCATTCTCCATGCTAATAAGGTAGGATGTGTATAGTTTCTACCTATACAATGGACAACTTTTGAAGCTAAGGAAAAATAATTTGAAGAATGCTTGTGAAGATTAGTTTGCAGACTGCCCAGCAAAAAATTTATGCTATATAAATATAGTCAAAAAATAAATTAAAAATAATGAAATAGTTAACAAATTTACTGATTGTTTTTACCGTATTTCTTATATTTTTTACTGGAAACCCTACAAATGCTCATAGACCATGAACACCAGAAAAGGTATAAACTTTGTTGTTGACGTTTTCTCTTTAGAAGCTATTAAACTTCTCATTGAAAAAACTTTAAAAGTTTATATTCCTATTCTGTAGTTTCAGTTATAGTAAACAGATTTTATCAAATATTTTTTCCGCTCCATATTATTATAATCTTGTTATATATTCTTCCACATAAGTAGGCACTAATAAATACATATTTTCAGAGAATACTTTTTCCAAAAAGATGCATTCAACAGTGTTTTTTAATTTGAAATAAAAATACAAATGCAAGTTTAATCAAAGCCAAATAAAGTTTCTTATATAGATACAAAAGAATTAGACGCTTTTCTAAGATTCCTCTAGTTGATTGTTGAAACTGAAACAGCTAACCCAAACGAAGTATTGTAGTTCTAAGCCGAGCATATATTAAATGAATTATGAAAACTGTTGTCATTATCAGCACACCATTAATCAACCAATTCTATGCATCATAAGCACAAAAACAAATGCAAATACTTACTCGACATTCACTGCAACAAGCGCCACCGGCACACTGAGCCTCTGATTTCAGCTTGCAGGTGATGCCATCGCAACATGGATCCAAGGCACACTCCTCAATCGTGCCACAATCACACTCTTCATCCTCTTCGACGATCTTATTGCCACAATTGCGACGCATTTCGATCTGTAAAGTTGAAAAAAAAAAATCGGAATTATACAAAATTTGTTGTTGATCCAAAGTTTTACAGCGAAACATGCAAAGTTACACTTAAAATTTATTTTAGTAGAAATTTTAGTCCATGATTTTATTAAAGTCACAAACACAAATTATAACAGTAGTTCGTAGCTCACTTAAAAAAATGTCTAAAATCTCACTTCAGTGGATTATAAATATCAACCGTTATTTCAAGCGACATATTTGCAACTTTATTTTACTTTCCAAAACAAATATTTCAATTTGCTTGAAAGCGCTTACATAATCCAATTAGTTAAATTGCTGTCTTGTTGTTGCGCACGAGATTGTCTTGAATGTCTTGCTGTCTCAATCAAGTGCCACAATGCAACTCAGAAAATGTCAAAAATAGTTTCACTTTTTATAGCGGCCACTAATTTGGCGAACCGTTATAGCGTGTCACGCGTGCTGCCGCCACAAGTTTCACTGCGAAACTGCAACCTCCAAACAGCAGTGAAAGTCACTCATACGCCAGCGCGGCCTGACGGAGTGTACCTGCCAGCGCTGGTTGGAAAGTAGAAAACGGCACGCGGCACCAAGAGTGGCGACATAACAATGCAATAGCTGCAGAAAGCAACAACAACAAAAACAGAAATAAAACTGAAAATGAAAATAGAAACAAAAATGAAAACGAAAATGAAAAGGAAAAGGAAAAAAGTTGCAATGAAAATGAAATCGGAAAGAAAAACAGAAAACAGATTTTGCTAACAGGATTTGAATGCAGACGACCTCCCCCAGCTGAGGCTGGTACTGCTGTGCGGCTGGCGGTGGGCACATGTGGCAGCATTCGGCTCAGCGTGCAACGTGCAACGAGGCTGACTGTGTCTTGGGGCCTTGCGGTAGTACCGCTTTTGGTGTTGTTGTTGTTTCGAGTGTCGAGTGCTGCGTTCGGGGCACAATTAACCTCAGCAGGCCATCACACGCACACATACACACCCAAACGCATACACATGCACAGCACTTGTACAAAAGCTGAAACGCTCCGAGTGTCTGCAAAACGCAACGAGTGCTTGCAACGCTTTGCTGTCTGTATGCTTGTGCATGCAAATGCCAGTGCAAATGTGTGACTGTATGCTCAAACAATAAACAAAACAGAGCAAAACACGCAGCCAACGAAATTGCCACGAACGAGGTCGTTGCGTTCACACATGAATGCGGCTAAAAGGAATAAAAATTCAAGAGGCGCACGCATTGGCAGCAAATGCAAATAAACGCACACCAATACACGGACAATATACAATACAATATAGCGGTGTAGAAAGTCCCTGGTAATGTGTTAGGTTCCACAAAGCAAACTAGTTTATAACTACTCTTTTGGGTAACTAGTGTTAAATTTAACAATATTATTAACGCTAGTATGCGTTGTATTTTTTAAATATATTTGCTTGTGCTAACACTTTTTCGTTTTTCAAAATTATGTATTTAAAAAACACATGTATATATTAGGATGACCCACCAAAACTAATTATGAATGGATTTTTAATATTGAACCTAATCTTCTTTTTGAGAAATCCAATTCGTGAATAATACTTTCCAATTATTTTATTTTACTTGAATTAGGTTTTTGGTAAGTATAATCATTTTAAGTAAACAAAAACACCAAATCTGCATCGTTTTGTTTTCAATTTTTAAAACTTTAAATATACTCATTTTGAAATTAAAACAAGAAAAAATGTTCATTTCGGCTGCTAGGAAGCTTTAATGCCCTTCAAGTATATTTTTGATAGCATAGGGGAGCATATAAAGGTCTTAATCATGAGCTTGATCGGTCAGATTTTCTGATAGCTATATGCTATGGTGGTGCCGTTTTAACAATTTCTTTTTAGATTAAATATTTGCCTTAGAAAATATTCCATGCCTTTAAATTTTTTGAAGGTACTTCATTAAATGACGGAGCTTTCCATGCCAAAAATGCAGTAAGTAGTCCGATATGTGGAAAATTTCTGGTCGGCATTGCCAAAACTTTTTTTTTGTTGTTGTGAAATCTCAAAAAACCTTTTAAAATAAAGTTAAAAAATCCTGCCTTGCAAAGATACATAGTATATACAGGGTTTAACAATAAGAGTGATATGATTTCCTTCAAGAAACAACACGCTAATGTTAAGAAAATTTAAATGATTTTTATTTAATGTGAAGTACCATCCATACTTCTCTATAACATCAATCAAATTCTTGGAAGACATTCAATGTCACAGCTTCTTCAAATAATTTAATCTCCAAACTTCCCTCACAATAAAATGGTTTTTGAACGTGCTGTGGGAAACGTAGCCGCGTCTTGTTAGAATTAGATATTATGAATAAGATCAACTTTTACAATTGTGGTCATAAAAAGTTGGTTATCATCGAGCTAGACCGCTCTCCATTGATAGTAACGGTGTCAGCATCTTCATTTTGAAAGAAGTACGAACCAATGATTCCACCAGGCTAAAAGCCACACAAAACTGTCAATTTAATTGAGAATAGTGGTCCTTCATGAACAATTTGTGGATTTTCTTCGTACCAGAATCGACATGAAAATGAGCATCATTGGGGAAGTTGATTTTCCTAAAAAATCTGTATCGTTTTCAAGTTGTTCCAAGACAAAAACAGCAAAGTCACAACGATTACGGTGGTCCAATGTCTTCAGTTCTTGAGTGAGAACGACTTCATACGAATGCAAACTTAAAACCTTTCTCAAAATCTGCCAGGTCACAATCCTTGAGAACATCTTGGAATCGCCAATTTGTGATCTTCAGCAACACTCGCCTGAACGGCAGCATTACTTCGAGTGATTCTTTGCCTTTTTGGCTCCAGAATATTGTGTAAAGAAAATATTGTTGGCAATTTTCAAGGTGGACGAAGAGTTGCAATGGGAAAATGATTATTTGGATGGTGAAATTGAATAACTTGTAACGTTGTTCTTAAGTCTATATTTTAGTATTTTTTAGCTGTTATTGCAATTATGGAAGTACAAGTTGATTCAAAATTCTATTTTATTATATAAACTGTTGAATACAATGGATTTCATTCAAACTTTCTAAAGGAATTTTATGTTCGACTTAAGCTGCAGTCGTCCCCTCACTTTAAGTTCAATTTGTGCAGCTATATAGTCATTTAGCTATATAGTTATTAGTCAGTAAGTTCTTTTCAAGCGTCATCCATACTGTTGCTCAGTGGATTTATTGCCAGTAAGTTTTCACAATTACAAAGTCTATCTCGGTATCTTCGGAAGATTTTGATGATTTCGTCTATAACAAAAAGTACATTTAAGCATTTATGGATTTCGAATTTACTTATTTACCAAGGAGCACTTACAGTGCTTCTTAAAGTCTTAGACTGATACCTTCGCCAACAACCATAACTGCATTACATACGTCCATACTGGTTTAAGGACTGACTTGTAGAGTCGAACTTTATTTTCACTAAGTTGTGATCGCGGGTCTAAACGCCCGTACATTTTTTTTTTGAACATGAGCTCCTTCAATTTCTCTTTTAAGTGCGTCTTCCAAGTAAGTCAATTATTGATACGGAAGGACATTTTTCAACGCTACTTAAAGACCAAATTGTTGTTACTTCAAAGATAAAAACAAATAATTTTAAAATATCTTTACACTGTCTTTCTCATATCTTTCTCTCAAGGGAGAAATAGGGTTCAAATAATTATTATTTTAACAATTATTATTATTATGTGTATTAAATGAAAATTCCGACTCTTCTTATTGCTTGAATAGCTTTCTTTCAGGTCCCGAACGCGAAATATTTTATATAAAAATGTTTTTCTGAAAACAACTTTTGGAACTTGCGAACAAGTTGTTTCAAAAGCTTTTTTCTTTAGAGTATTGGGTGCTATATGGATATCGGAATCATTTTAGTATTTATATTTTTATTTGTAAAAGATTATATGTTTTTGTTTCGAATGTCCATTTTTTTTTTAAACTTAAGTTCATATAAAGTGGCGAAATTATTAATGAAAATAAATGGTAACAACTATTAGTTTCAGATTAAAGCCAGATGGGCAAGAAAGACTCTATTCCCTGCTAATATAATATAAAATTGGAAATGATCTTTCCTACAATTTGTTGCACAACAAACATAAAGCCGAAATTACCAGGCCATTCTGACTTAGCAATTTGTGCTAGATAGACTACATATTTTAAGAACAGTGACTGTTCCTAAGACGGAATTCTTCTCCACTGGCTTCAGTGTTTGTTCGCTAATATCTAAGCGGGGCAGCTGTTTTAGCTAAAGAAATAATGGTTGTATGCAAAAAATGTATATACTATTACAATGTAGCAGAACTAAAAAAAAAAAAATATAATAATAATAAATCCTTCGACAGAAGTAATAATTAAAAAAAGTTCCTCAGCACGCCACGCTTAGCCGCAGTGGCAAGTTGCGGCCGACAGTGAGGCTCCTGTGTCCATCTTCAACACATTCGTCACCTTTCTTTCTTGCCAAAACACTCAAAACAAAAGAGTCATTTATGCAAAGAAACTCACGCTTATTTATGTAAATGTGTGCATGCATACAATGCGCCTAAAAGACTGCTACATTTAGGGGAGCAATGATGCTGGCGCAAAGCCGCTCATGCGATGATGCCGAATACATTTGTGCGATGTGAGCCAGCGACGCAACAAAAACAACGAAGCTGTCACAACGTTTATTGTAGTTGTTGCTCTTGCAACTGACCTAGTGCCAAAAAATCAAGACAAAAGCTAAAAGTGCTGCACTCACACGCCATAGTCATCCAGCTCCTCCTCCTGCTCCAGCCTCAACGCCTTCTCATGCTCGTTCATGTTGACGTTGAGTAGTTATTGATGTAGTGGTGTGAGTGTGTGTGTACATGCGTGCGCGTGTGTGTGCGCTTCCACTTCGTTTATGCAAAACTTGTCATCATTGCTGCGCTGCTGTTGTTTGCTTGTTTACTTTTAGCTCTTACACTGGCGCTATGCTATTGTTGCACCATTTTGGCTGAAGCTTTGTGCCACATACCAAGCGAACATGCAATGCATATGGAAAAAACAATGCAATGCAAGCAAACAGCAAGTGCCAATGGCTGGTGTGTGCAAACACTGCGACGCGCCAATACTTAGTGCCACAGGGGTGTGGCAGAGACAGCTAACATTTCGCTTGCCTCGAGAGTTGCATGTTGCACGTAGCATTGTCAGTGGTGTATACATGTGCCTGCTGCTGTTGTTGCATTCATCTTGAGGCAATACGCTTGATCGTGCTTCTTTGTTGTTGAAAATGGCACACAATGTACACAAGTACTTTTTTTCTGCCTCGTTTTGAATGCATTTTTTTCTGAAAGTCTTGTTGTTGTTGTGTGCCTTCTAAGACTAATTTTTGTTCGTTTGAGAATGCACTCGACGCTTGTTTTCTTTTCTAGGAAAAATCTTTTGTTTGTTTGTAATTTTCAGCTTTTTTGATATTTTTGACTGAGTCTGGTATTGTTCTCAAAGAAGTCGACTTTTCCGGGAATTCAAGTGCCGTTATAGCTAAGAATATCTGTCAAACATTTTTAAGCACTCGAAATATTGCAGTATATTTCTATTGAGTTCGAGAACATTAATTTTCGATGGCATAGAAGGGTCAGCTCAGCTACTCAGAGCTGAATAGCAGGAATAGATATTTTTTCTTTGAGGATAGTGCTTTGATAAGCAATCGAACTGGCCTTTTGGTGACCGCTGAAAGACAGACATATGTATTTCACAAAGCCGCTATGATTTACTTTGTCTCCCGGACCACTGTAGTCAAAAGTTGGTGAAGCTGATGAGTTCTCCTATCTAAAAAAAACTGGTAAAAAAAAAGCTGGTACCTATCATAGCGCTAAAGCTTCATGTCGAACTTGAAATTAAGATTATATAGGTTACATAGTTGGGTAATGAAAGTAACAATAATTTAAGTCAGTATATTTTATGTCCAAGAAAAACTTTTGGGCTTAGGTCGTCGTCTACCTTTGTCGTTTAAAAAAATCTTCTTTTTCGTGTTTTTAATGTAGTTTTTGTGTTTTTTTTTTTTTGTTTTCTGGGCTCTAAAGCCAAAATTTTTCAATATCTAAGTTCAAGAATGAATTAGTATAATCTTGTTTGGAATACATCGTCGTGAGTAGGGTCGACAATTGATCGCGGAGGCATGTAAGTGACCACTTTACTCAGTTAGACCGCTCAAGCACAAGATGTTAGTATTCTACAGAGAAGAAAAAGAGAAAATTATAGTATTGCCTTGATTTTCTTCAATTTAACTCTTCGCCGCAAAGCTGAATGATTGACTATTCTACTCTCGAGCAACTGCATAGGGATAATAAAAAACAAGTGGTACACTGACGGCTCGAAAACGTCGGAGAGAATTGGTGCAGGAGACGCAGGACCACGCACTAAACACTCTATACCTATAGCAAGTTTTTCGAGCATAACTCGGATAGAAGTCTTTGCCACTAATCGGTGCTTTTGAGATAAATCTACAACGAAACAATCGCAACGAATGTATAACCATACTTAGCGATTGTCGAAGGACCACTTACAGCCCTTATTCGCGGTGGGTTTCCATACCTTAAAACAGCCACCCCGCAGTAAAGAAGGAATAGGCAGAGAAAGATATTAGAAATTACTCCAAGGCATCCGACATTGCAAGTTGCTAATGGGGGGTTACAACCTCAGCAGGCTTAAATATATAATTCAGATTACTTGTCACATTCTGCACTGGCCACTGCTAGCTGAAGAAGCACTTAACATGACAAGAAGCCTGTAACTTCAGAACACCTGCTAATTGATTGCATAGTAGTTTGCAGACTGAGGCTGAAGGTCCTTCAATACATGTTTCCAAATAGGTATCACATCGCTTCGCTAGTACCCATCAGTACTCTGGACTTTGTCAAAATGCTGGGGCTAGGCAAGTCTTTGTGATTTAAGTGATTTTGTTATCGATCTAATCTAATATACAGACAATGAGTTATAAAATCTTTGACATAAAAACAGCTAACACAAAAAAGTTGTCCCCACAATAGAAAGGCAGATTTGCTTTTTAATACCTACCTGCCATGATATATGCTTTAAACGTTTTAAGACTAATTGTTGCTGACCATTTCTCGTAAATAAATCTGATTGAATCACAGAAGAGGGTAACTAGCAGATATTCTCTAGTGGGTTGATAATATACAAAATAACCCTGCCAACCACTGAAAGCATTATTCCAAGAGAACGTCAACAGAATGTTGAGCAAGGTATATGTGCTCTTAGTAAAGATTTAGTAGAGATATTGAAGACCCTTTCGCTTGCGCTACCTATTTTTGCAGACTCTATCACAAAAAGTAATCTCTGCCTATGTTATTGCTATTAATGTCATTGATATTGTCCTGGTAACGAATACCACTGTTCATCAGACGTTTCTTCTGAGATCTGAAATTCCACTTAGGAAATATTATTATACATTGCGAACTAATTAATTGCTGACTCAGTGAAACTCTATAATCTACTCAGATCAACAAATATACAAATTTTGTGTAATTTTATAAGTATTGATTCTTCTAAACTAAACTCTATCCTTCAATTGTGGTAAAACTAATATACTTTTCAATATATTTTGCATATATTACATAATTTCGATTTAAAATTAACTTAGTAATGTATGTAAATTTTGTAGCTGCATTTCTCTAAGACTCACCTCATTCGGCTTATTGAGTAAACACAACCCATGTCCGGTGCGCAGCGCATCGATGTAATCCTTTTTGCTGCACTCGGAGAATTTATAAGGCTGCACATTCTCCTGGCCAACAATCGATTGGGCCATTATGCAGCCATGCCAGTCCCTGCAGAAGCACTCCTCACCTGTGAAAAATGCAAAATTAATTAGAACAATCCAAACAAAAAAAAAATAAAATAAAAAATAAATAAATAAATAAATAATGCAGCTGGCTCTGTTGCGTAATAGAGAAAAACGGAAGTGTGTGGGAATACACGAATATGTGATCAATAAATAAAATAATTTTTGAAGTCGTGAACTAAGTTAAAAATATACAAATTACTCGTTTTCTATGCACTACTGTGTTTCGCTGCACTACTTTATTTCTAAAGATTTCTGCTTTATTACTTTAAATGTTGATGGCTCCGTTGTTATAATTTTTATACTCTTGCAACATGTTGCTACAGAGTATAACAGCTTTTTTCACATAACGGTTGCATGTATCGCCTCAAACTAAACTAGTTATATATGGGGTTGTATATACATATACATATATATAGAAATGATCGGAATCTTGAAACGAGTTGAAATCCGAGTGACATGCTAACTGTAACTTCAATCGTAAAACGCCATTTAAAAACAAGTAAGGAAGGGCTAAGTTCGGGTGTCACCGAACATTTTATACTCTCTCATGATAAAGTGATAATCGAGATTTCATTATCCGTCATTTACATATTTTTTATTTTGATGTAAAATGAATTAGATTAGATCAATTTTTGTACTTTGGGTGTTGAAGTGTATTTTCATTTATTTTAACTGTATTGATTTACCGATATTTTCGGTGAAAAATTAGGTTAGGTTAGGCACTAAGTTCTTCGTGTTCGATATCAGGGACCTTGAAAAGTTATAGTCCGATCACGACAATTTTTCCACAAGGGATACTTCAGTGTAAAGTTTTATCATCATTGGTTCCTAATGCATATATTATACAGAGAAGGCATCAGATAGAACTCAAAACAGCGTTATATTTGAAGAGGGCGTAGTTGTGAACTGATTTCACCCATATTTGGTACATGTCATCACGGTTTTAAGAAAATATTATATACCGAATTTCATTGAAATCGGTTGAGTACTTCCTGAGATATGGTTTTTGGTCCATAAGTGGGCGACGCCACGCCCATTNATTTCATTGAAATCGGTTGAGTACTTCCTGAGATATGGTTTTTGGTCCATAAGTGGGCGACGCCACGCCCATTTTCAATTTTTAAAATAAACCTGGGTGCAGCTTCCTTCTCACATTTCTTCCGTAAAATTTAGTGTTTCTGACGTTTTACGTTAGTCGGTTAACGCACTTTAAGTGATTTTCAACATAACCTTTGTATGGGAGGTGCGCGTGGTTATTGTCCGACTTCTTCCATTTTTGAACTGTATTTGGAAATGCCTGAATGAAACAACTCTGTAGTTTTGTGTTTGGTTGACATAGCTATAGTAGTTTCCGAGATATGTACAAAAAACTTAGTAGGGGGCGGGGCCACACCAACTTTTCCAAAAAAATTTCGTCCAAATATGAACCTCCCTAATTTCACTTTAATATCTTTATTTATGGCTTAGTTATGACACTTTATAGGTTTTCGGTTTTCGCCATTTTTTGGAGTGGCGATTTAAATCCGGCATCCGGATTTAAACTCTACTCGTCACCCTGATCACTTTTATATATATAACCCTATATGAGTATCTGACTCTTTTAGTTTTAGGACTTACAACTTTGTTGCGATAATATAAAAAGGTACATAACTGTTATTTGGCGCAAAGGATCGCAGTAGCAAGGGCCACTTGTGTCTACAAATTTTGTAAAAGTGGGTGTGGCTAAGCCCTCTAATAGATTTAAGGATAAATACAACTAGAATCACTCACCGCTCACTCCACATAAAATCATGGGCATGGCACCGTCATCTTTAAGGTGAAATCCCGTATCTCTCAACTAAATTTTTAACAAGATTTAATCTCAATATTTTATGTGACAGTGTGAAAATTGGTGAAAGCGCACTAAAACTACCTACTTTTCATATAAAAAAATTAAATTTTTTTTTTTGACTATTTCGCTGTCCTACCTACAGCTGACTTTGTGCAAAAAATATCCGCCAATGTGTGAGATATATTATATAAATGCAATTCAAGGATAATCTTTTGCTGATATCGGTAAGTCTGTTTGTCAGAAATGAATTGAATCGATTCAATACTTTCCTTAGCTCTCAAATACTAACATTTTGGAACTTCTTGATGACTTTATTCCGCATATTTCGGCCAACATGTGAGTTATCTCAAACAAAATGGGAGAGCGTATTTTTCTCATAACAGTATGTATTTGTGCCAGAAATGTATAAAATTAGGCGAAAACTTGACCTAGCCCTCATATCACTAATATCAGGATTTTTGAGCACGCCAGCTGACTTTACTCCATATGATTGGTGATTGTATGTGAGGAACGTTGATGGAACCTTGAAATCATTTTATTAGACTGTGACCTTTTAACTGCATGTAATATCGGCCCAGATCAATGGTCAATGCTATCTCTTATATACTTAATATAAGATCTTCAAATTTTCGACAAAATTAACTGAAAGTATAATAATGAATTTACTGCTAGAAATTTGTGAAATTGGTCTACGAATCAACTAAATTCCCATATGGTACTAAATATAATTATTTTCGTTACACTAACAAACCTTATATCAAATATGGCGATCTAGGTATTTTTTTATGTATGTATATATAACAGTACTTGGATTACGAACTTCTGGTTGACGTTTTACATCCTTAACTATTTCCCTGGCTTAGGTGCTGGTAAGTTGCAAGACTATGAAATGTTCGGTTGCACCCGAACATATACCTTCCTTGATTGTTTTTGTTATATTCTGAACAAGAGTTGGTTTTGCCATATTCGGCTCATGCCGCTTCTCCCCAAAAAGCTGATCATTTGTGAGAGTTTGAAGATATTAGACCACTATAGCACGTAGCTGCCTTACAAACTGACCGATCAAAATCAATTTCTTATATCAAGTTTTTATAGTTGTGAAGGGCTGAAGCTTCGCTGCAGACGAAGTTTATGTTTTTTCTTGTTTTATTTATTATTTGTTTAACTTGAAAATTATATAATTTTTTTTTAGTTCCAATAGCCCATGAAAAACAAATCAATTTAAAATATGAAAACCTTGTATGTGTGTAGTCTAGTGTTGGCGTTGCTTAAGCGGCGAAGCATAATTTTTTATGCTGAAATATTTACTGTGTATAATATTTATTTATGCGCTTATCAGTAAGTGTGTGCATGATTGCGCATTCATTGGAATGGCCTGGCACACACACGAACACACGGTTTGTTATTGCTGAAAGCAACAGAAGCACTAACCGCTTTTTTAACGTTTCCCTTTTATTTATTTAAATAATCTGTTTGTTTTTTAATTGTTGTGCATTATTTACCTTGAGGGATGCTTGTGTGTGTGTGCGTGTTTGTCCAATAAAACGAAATTATGAAGAGAAAAGGAACACAAATGCGCCCACACCCCAACCCCCGTTATTTGAAATGAAATTTATGAATTTTCATTAAAAGAAAATACTTCGCCACTTTGGACACACACACACGCACACACGCGCACACGCACTTTGATTGAATTGAGTGCGACGGGCGTTTGCATATTATTAACCACCACACACACACAACCAGTGGCGTGGTGTCTGCCAGCTTGGTCAGCACTGATGGCTCAAGTCGGTAATGGATGTTTGCGAATCGAAAGCACGTCTCTCAGCCGCAACGCACAAAAATACAGTATGCTTGTTATAAAATATGTATTTACAGTTATTGGGCAGGCACTCCACCTTCAACTGTGCGCCCAGATTTGTCCGCTGATTCTACTATGGCGTTAAGCGTTCATCATAAATCAAGCAATTCACTCGATTATTATGCCGCAAACACACACTGGTGGAGCAAACCTCGTGCTATGTTGAATAAATGATGGTTGTAGTTGGGTGGTTATATATAGAGTAATAATTTTTTATTGTCGATTTATGTAATTTGTTTCTTCGTAAAAAATAATAAATGTGCGCCGGGAGACACATTAGCGCGTGAATAGAGTGAAGCAGCTCACAAGTGATTATCGCAGCACTGTGAGCGCTTTGAATATTTGTTAAATGGAAATCATATTCAAATTAACTAAAAGCAGGAATAAGAAATATGAAAGAGAAAAAAGTGTAAATTCAAAATTGGAATAAGAAAGCAGCATTAAACTCAGCAATTTTTGGGGAACTGGAAGGAAGAAAAGTAATACTGCTGCTGAGATTAAGTAATGAAACTTATTTTACCACAATTTACTTATTTTATCAACTTGCACATATAATTCTAAAACCGAATTGGTTGATTAGTATTTCCAAAACAGGTCTTAGGAATCAAAGCTGAGTAAGTGGATAGATAGTCAGAGTATGAAAGTTTGACTTCAAATGGCCTTTTCTGTTGGTTTCTTAGGGTTTTATGACAACTGTATCATACTAAGGTGAGTAGATAACTCGCTTTTGAACCCGAACTACTTTTACAAGCTCAATAAATATATTATTATTTTTTACATCATATTTCTATATTGCACTAAAATAGACTATGGAAATTTTCTTCGTATGACTTTCATTTTTGTATTTTTATACGCTGAACATCGTGTATTAAGGGGTCCGTAGGGTAATCTGGAGTGTTTTTTTTTGAAATTCTTCTTCAAAGAAATTCTTCAAAGAACTTTTGTCACAAATAATGAGGTATATCGTGGAGTGTATAAACCAATCTTTTCGGAATTTTTTGGTCACATCTGTCGGAGAAATGGCTGGGTGAATGAGATGCGTTTTTTCACTGGCGGACTCGATTTCTCATGCTTGGATCATCTGAAACACAAAAACCCAATTTATTCTTAAAAAGTACGTGAATGATTATCGTCCCTACACGAATCATGAAAGCATCTTTATAAATAAAAACGTAATTAACCGGAATTATGTCCGCCAGTTTAAAAACGTGTGTTTTGAGAAGGACGCGTTTAAAGTTTGAGATGTGCACTCCGAGCGCTCCGAACATCGAGTGGTATTATTGTTTGTGGAGCCTTTTCGAAACCTTTAAATGGTAAAGTGGGTTTCTACATTAATTCTCAGGATAAAGGGCACCAAAAAAAAAAAAAAAAAAAAAAAAAAAAAAAAAAAAAAAAAAAAAAAAAAAAAAAAAAAAAAAAAAAAAAAAAAAAAAAAAAAAAATTAAAAAAGATTACCCTACTGATCCTTTAAATTTGCCACGCAGTTTGGATGAATGTGCAAGAACTGAAGCCGCTCGACTTTCCCAAGCATTGTTTCACTCGAACAGAGAGTTCGAACCAAATTTTGTTCGGGAATGAGTTTCATTTCCTGGTATGCTTGAAAGCAGAAATGCCTCATTTGTGACGAGGAGATTCAAGGACTGCCAATCTAGATAAAACAACGGTTTGCTTTGGTTTATGGGCCGATGAAATCATCTATATTTCGTCAAAAATGATACCGATGAGAACGCAACCGTTAATATCGACCGTTAGCGCGTTATGGTAAACGACTACTTGATGTCTGAAATTGAAGCTCGTGACATCGACAATTAGTCGATAGACCAAGATCATACCTTTCTTCCTGTAGGGATACGGATATCTAAAGTCTAAAGTCTATGCGGAAAATCCCACTTCGATTTAGGCCTTGGAGCAAAGCATTCGGGTCATTCGCCAGTTACCAATCGAAATTCTCGAACGAGTCATCGAAAATTGAACTCAACGGATAGACGATTTGAGACGTTGCCGCGGCCAACATTTGAAAGATATAATCTTAAAAAAATAAACTACAAATAATATTTTTATGAATAGGGTATATTAAGTTTGTCACAAAGTTTGTAACATCCAGAAGGAAAGGTTGGATACCCTATAAAGTWTATATATAAATGGTCAGTATGTCGAGCTGAGTCGATTTAGTCATGTCCGTTTGTCTGTCCGTCTGTCTGACTGTCTGTATATATACGAACTACTCCCTCAGTTTTTCAGGTATCGTTTTAAAATTTTGCAAACGTCATTTTCTCTACAACAAGCTGCTCATTTGTCAGAACTGCCGATATCGGACCACTATAACATATACTGCCACACAAACTGAATGATCGGAACCAAGTTCTTGTATGGAAAACTTGCACATTTCACAAGATATATTCACGAAATTTGGTTCAGATTATTTTCTAATGCAACACTGTAATCTCCGAAAAAATTATTCGGATCGGTTAGCTATAGCATATAGTTGCCATACAAACTGTATACAAAGTTATTAACAGAAATACACCTGTGAAGGGTATTTAGCTTCGCTGCAACCGAAGTTAACGTTTTTTCTTTCTTCGAATCATAATAAATATTCTCCATTAAATTTGAAGTTTCTGTATTTTTTTCTTTAAAAACGTAGGAAAGCTCGAACCGGAACACCTTCTTGCTTATTTTGAAGGCATTTTAAAATCTAATATCATTTTAATTTATTATGATAAATTATTACCTCCCTAAAAAAATAGACTAACTAAATAATATTAACATCACCGAACTTATTCATTTTATAGTTTATAGAGAACTCTCCAGCAAGCGGAATCCACAAAATTTTACGCACAAGAAACTGATTCTCTGCGAAATCAGAACAGTTATGGCTCTTGCCACTTATCGGTTAATATAAAAATAGCAGTTTATGTTTGGCATAAATACCTACTTATGATAAAATGTCTATGAAAGAGTATGCTGATGATAATATAAGAGAAATAAGCACTTCGACGAGCCATTAAAAGCCATCGACATAAACTTGCGCTGCAGATAAATCTTTCGTCGAAGCAGCGCAAAGACAAGCCACCACTGAATAGATAAAAGCGCTGTTTACTTTACAATAAATAATTTACTATAAAAAACTGATGAATGCACGGCGGCAAAAGCAAGAAAGAAGACAAAGATTGTGCCAAACACCAATGCAATAAATCAATTTTATGGCGCGATTAATTTTGGTATACCATTAAGATTGTTTACCACGCAAATGAGCGCGTATAAATTTAATGTGGCGACAGTTTTGAGTGGTGAAAAGAGAACAAGAACAACAAAAATCAAATAACTTAATTTCGCTTAGAACGTCGAGTTAAAAATGAACATCAGGAATGGGAGTTTATGTGTTTGGGGTGTATGTGAGTGCGTGAGTGCATGCAAATTGCGACTGCGGTGCGCAAAATTATATATAAATGAGTAAATGCAAGTATGTATGTGAATTGTATGCTGTGACTATAGAATACTTACGTCCATCATCGTGGCCCATGCCGATATTATGGCCAATCATGTGCGCCATCGTGCCCGCCAACAGATGCGGCTCGTAGACATTAATATCAACGCTGATGCCGATCGCACGCGGCGTGCACACAGTCTCCGGCACCGCCATGCCCGCCTCGCCGCCAGCGAACGTCTCGCCGCTATAAAAGTAATAAAAGAAAACCCATAAATATTTATACATATAAATTCATATATGTATACTCTATAAGCGTGTGTGTGTGAGTATTAGTTGGTGGAGCAGCAGTAGGGACTGAAACATAAAAAGTTCATATAAAATTAGCAATGACCACCAACAGCAAGCAATAAACAAATTGAAGGCGTAAAACGCCAACAACGAGATACAAAACACCCACGCCGCTCTCCCCCCGCTCCGCATCAACATCATTTTGGCTGCTGATTTTTATTATTTATTTCTTAGTTGTAAAAGTCAATAAAAAAGGTTCGCAGAACTCAACTCCATACCGCTGATGAGCTCCACGTACATATACATACATATATACCCACTTAGAGTGTTTGTTGCACCCGTTTAACGGCCCGCTTTTAAAAGTAAATATTTCAACACAAGTGGCCGCAATTACCAATTGAGGATTTATTAAAAATTCATTGGGTCACCGAAGGACAACGAGTGCCGCTCAAGGTTGATTGGTCGCCGCCTGTGGGTTTGGGTTAAATGCACCCCGGCAGTAAGTGGTTGTGTAGGGGCGCCGGGTGTTCATAAGTTCAATCAGTGCAAATGAATTTAAAACTTTTTGTAACACGCCAGCGGCACATCGTCTCAAATCCTAAACGAGGGATAGCGCATAAATAACGGTAATTGCGCAGGAATGCGGCGAATGTTTTAAGTAAAACAATCAAAAAACAAAAAAGAAGAATCCAAAATGTGCTTGAAAAGGTTGTTTGCGAAAAGGCCGTTTTATTGAGTATTAAATTTAATTCCTTATTTAGGCGGCGTTATTTTACACATCAACAAAGGTCGAAAACTTAGCATCAAAGGTTATACAAAGGTGTATTTTGCAGTCAAAAGAATATGAAGGCGTAAACGTTTAAAGTTTGGCATGCCTTTTGCGCTTTAAGTGCCCTTGAGGTGCTGGGCTTCAGGCGCCAAAGCATATTATTATCGGGTTATTGAAGATGATTGCTTTGTGTTTGTCGCGTGGCAGTGAAATAATGAAGGTGGCCAAATTCTCATTTCATACAAAGTGGTTTTTTTTCGTATGTAAAATAATTGAAATAAATATTTTGGAAAAGTTGGAATTCTCCAGATATTTAGAGGGTGAATGAATGCCCAAATTAATTTGATTTGATTGTGTGAAACTATTTAAGTATATCTCCTAGTTTTCAGTAGTGTACAATTAAATATGTTGTCAATATGACTTCAAGTAATACAAAACGCCTTAACCCTTCTGCACAAATTGAGATTGTACCCCTCATAAACAATTTGTAGGTCAATATGACCCAATAGCAAAAACACATCAGTATGGTAAAATTATAATGGCAAACTCATTTTTTTTATTATTCAAACATAAAATTAACAAATTCAAAATTGTTTTCAATGGGAGTCAGTAAAAAGTATATCAATTCTCACAATTTATACACATAACTGCCCTTACACTATGTTCTTTGCATATAAAATCAAGCATTTATCGCATAACTGAATGCTTGTTGGAGTTTTTAGTATGTGGACAATAAAAACACCTTTGTCTCTTACCCAAGAAGCATAAAGGAGAATTTTGAGGCTGCACGACCGTGGATAAACTGGGAGTGTCTGCTGCGACTGCTTCCTGGATGCTTTCCACAACTCTTTTTGCAGAAGGACCATAGGGCATTCGCTCTCGGCCGCTTAAAGTTTTTAGTTCTGTTCCATTCGGGATTAAGTTCGGTCCATATAACATATGCGTTATATCCCGAAACATCGACCATATTGGAAAAGAGTGCAACTGGCCATCGTTTCGTTTGGCGTTTACATGTGTACGTTGCTACTAATTGGTCCAGCGCATCAACACCTGCTTTAGTCGCATTATAGTGATGTATTATTTCTGGTTTCTTTTTCTGATCATCCCTAGTCTCTGCCGAATGATGGAGAGTACTCATTACAACAACGAATTTGTATTTCTTTGGCATGTAGGTCACAACAGTCACATTTTGTGTGAAAAAGAATTCCGAATAATACTCTGGTTTTTTCCTGACGTCATTAGCTTAGAGGGGAAGAAACTTCTTGTTCTTTCTAACTGTTCCTACTACCGTTATTTTACGTCGTAGCAATTCGACAGCCAAATTGTAGGTTGTAAAAAAGTTGTTTCACGTGACGGTATAGCCTCTCCCCAAATTGCGTGTGAGATTTATAACTACATTTTCAAATAAAGAAAATATTTTTGTATTGTCTGTTTCACTGCTATTTTTCTCATGTTGATAGCTTTTACCTTGGTTCTTTTCTGGCTGAGTATTTCTGGCCCTTCCTAGATAGACATCCATATTCCATGCGTAGTTGGACTTGGAATCGCAAAGAGCCCATATTTTTATGCCATATTTGTCAGGTTTGGAAGGTATGTACTGTCTAAAACAGCATCTTCCACTAAAAGGTACCAGCTGCTCATCGACGGTCACATTTTCATTTGGATTATACATCAGTTTAACATTAAGATTTTTGCTCCATTTGTCCCAAATATTTCTTATTGGAGCTAGCTTATCCCATAACCGTCTGGTTTCCCTATCTTCATGGCTATCAAAACGGAGGCATCGTGAAATTTGCATAAATCGTTCAATATGCATAACAGCGCGGAATATGGGTCTTCCATTTGTTTCATCTCATAAACATCTCAAGCTTTCCCCGTTAGACTTGGAAACACCAGTCATATCAATGATCTCCCACTTACTTTCATATAACTGCACGCCCTTGAGGTTGGTCATATCAACAATAATTTCTTTCAGTTCTAGTGAAATGAATAAATCGAAAGCACCTTTTATGCTAGCAACCAAGAAACGTGCGTGTTGTGAAGGGCCTGGTTTATTTGAAAGAATGCATTCTTGTCACACTCTGCTGCATTGCATTTGATGAGGATCTTTATACCAAACAATCGTACCATCTTTTGCAGGATTATTTCCTTGTGTTTCTCTGCTAAGACTTTCAATGCTATCAAAAGAATCTGTAGATATATCAGACTCATTTATTTCAGATTCATCACATTGAAAATCTTGATCTTCATCAGACGCTTCATCAAGTGACTCGTCATCATCATTGACAATTTCTTCAATTCTTTGACGTGATAGAATCTATACAAATATGAATACATACCTACATATAATAAAAGAATCGCAATATTATAAAAAAGTTAAATTATTCGCTGCATTTTAATTGCGCAGATTTTTACATTCGCATATCACTGAGCAAAAAAATTGTCTACCGAGCGTCTTCACAGTTGAAATAAATTACACAACTGACAACATTTTCATAAGCTTGGACGTATGTTTGCTGTATGTAGTAGAATACAGTTATCCCAGAGCAAAACAAAATTCACCAACTACATACATATGTACATACATAGCATAAAAAAAAATCAGAAAATAATGTTCAATACCGTTATCACTAGGCACCGCAAAATTCACAAATGAGCACTAGCATGCTTTTTCTGTTTAGTCACATTTGAGCATACATTTTCTTGGTGGTCAAAATGACCCACAAATTGTATACACGTACGAAAAGTTTTTAAAAAATTATGTAAAAAAACTGGCTCATCCTGGTAAAAAATATGTACGTATAACTCATCATAAAACTCAGACTGAGGATATCAGAATGGTTTTATAAGCAATTAACAATTCTAAGGCTTGGTAATACGCGTTTGTTTCTTAAATTTGGGTCATTTTGACCCAATTTGTGCAGAAGGGTTAAGGAAACGAAACTTTAGGGAAGGATTCAAATCACCGCCCAAAAACTCATATAACAATAGAATTGGAATGCCAATAATATTTTTCCTCTCTGTTACGCTTTCTCATACACCACTGGTAACGATAAGTTGTACAATTGTTCTTCGGCTTCGGAGTCAAGTTCTGAAATATGTTGCATATAATGCTAGAAAAATTCTTAATTTTTTTTTGTCAAATGATACACAATTTTATAGCTATAACTTTGGTTAGGTTTGGTTAATAGGACGATCTTAGCAGGGATTTTACGCGTACAGCTTTGAACGCCGGGTCGTTGTGGTACCTAAAACTCCTGTCTAGTAGATCATAAGACCCTCACAAATCAGCACTTTGAGGCAATCACAGATTTGTTAAGATAACTGATGTTTGGCTATGACTCCTGGTTCGGAAAGGTTAAAAGTGAATTTAAGTAAACAAACATAAGTTGAAATATTCAGACATATGCTTTTCAAATATTAGTTGCATTATTTCTTCTTCACTAAGTTGTGAGCTTCGAAATATTTCGAGAGCATTACAATTTTTACAATGGCTTTTGATATGGGAATGATAGCCTACAGTATTCTTTTTGCTTCAATTTAGATACAGCAGTCGAATGTGTCAAATCGAGGCCTTACCTACCCATATACATACATGTATATAAATGACAAAATGACAGATTGACCAAAATATGGCTTTGAGATTGTGCCACAAGAGCTGTCCGATAACGACTAAGCCTCATTACCCACCTACTGGCGCCGCTATTGCAAGAGCAATAAGTACACTATCGTATAACACATCCTCGTAGAGCAATTCGAATCATAATTTTATTTTTACCGCATTTTAAAGTGGCATTGGCCGCGGTCTTAGAATGAAAATAGTTTTATGAGCAAGAATATCGCGTAGTGAAATCAAAGAAAGCTTTCTTTTCAATGGCGGCTGTCACGAATTGATTTAATGAGTTTAAATTTTGTCTTGTGTTACAATAGTTCACATGCTCGTATTGCCAGAAAATCCATTGAATGAGTTTTAAACGACTGCCTGTCCCATATCCGGCATGATTAGGAATCGCCGAATCCAAATTTATAAAATTATACTAAAAACTACTATCCTAAAAATTAATAGAGTATGCTTAAGATGCTTTGGAACAGTTAGAAAGAGAGCTCACAATCGCTTTAGAGAGGCTAGATGAAATGCATTCGGTTTCTGTTTCAAATTAGAAAAGTCAGGAAAGTATTGACGAAAA